ACTTCAAACTACCATGACCCCACTGTGTGTCATATTTGACCACTTTCACAGTGCTCACCTTATCTTTATCTCTGCCTTTGTGTCTGTCTGTCTCTTTTACATCTGTGAATCATTATTCTGCTCCACCCCCCCCTCCACTTTTTTCACTTTATTGTTCCTTCCACTCTGTGAAGCCTGAAGTCAACTAAAGGGCTAATGATAACCATCAAACCGCCTGCCATTTGATATAAATAAATACTCTTAGAATAAAGCCTGCCATTTGATAATAAATATTTGCCTACATTACATAGGTTTCCATTTGAGTCTGCAAGAGCTACTGTTGACACTGACCCGGCAAGAAAAAAGTGAGGGCAAAAATTTAGTGACTCGGAGATATGCAACTAGGAGCCAGGACAAATGTTTAACTCGGAAGGCTATCCCAAATCTGAACCGAGTTACCGGTTGGGCGAATGCAAGTGTTCACTTGATTGGGCCTTTGGCTACATTTCAAATAGTAGCAGTGGACCCAAGAAGCGAAACGGCGTAACAATTTGCAGAGAGATGGATGTGACGCATTTTCTAGCATGAACAATAACAATGGATCATTGCAATCAAGTAAGCCTATTATTGACTGCGATAAGCTCAAAAATGATAATCAAAAGAGCCTTAATATGCTTATGCTTTCTTCCGGTATATAAGTTTGCTGGAAATGCAAGAGCAGTTAATTGGAAGAGAAAATTCAAAGCACTTGCATAAGTTTGAGAGCATTCGGTGCAGTTAGTTCTACCCGCTTCCGTCTGATAAGATCCTTTTGGACAGGCAACGCAGACTGTCGTGGAAGGCTGTGTCCAGGTCTGTTCTTGCACTAAAATTTCATATCTTGCCCCTCCAACTCCTCTGTAAGGCACAGCATATGATCCTGGTGGACATGGGGCGCAATGCGGAGGATTGGAAATCACAAGATGATGGCCAATGGGACACACAGGCCACGAATTCTTATAGATTATCTGGTTCAGAAAAAAAAGGATTTTTATTAAATGTTACTTTAGCTAATTATTTTTACTATTGATTCGTACAGTGACGTCGTTGGGTGCTGCTAATGCCTGCATTCTTGTTAACCAATTACGAAAGTCCTCTCTCGAATCTGTGAGATTTGATTCGCTCCATCGGAGGGTGAAACTGCGGTGGGCAACAAAGTTTGGCTCATTTCCAGCCGACTTCTTGATTGGTTCAACTCCATAATTGATTGGTGCTAGTACTGGCTGGGGATTCGGATTTTTGGGTGGCCATTTATGTGGAATGGATGTAACACTTCGACGATCGATGGTTACCGTAAGGTAGCACACATCACAGGCTCTTGACGTTGGTACCTAAGGGGGGGGGGACGGAATAATAAATAAAATTAGCTTTTTTGCATAGCTAATGATATAAGAAAATGGGGTGTGCGATAAACTTACCTCCACGTGGTGCACCCTGGGGAACGTATACTCATACTGCATAAGAGTCTATTAACCGGTAGTTGACTTCTGGCTTCTAACTACCACGACCCCCCCCCCTGGTTGTCATATTTGACCCCTTCCACAGTATTCCCCTTACCTTTTTCTCTACCTTTGCGTCCGTCTATCTCTTTTACATCTGTGAATCGCTCTTCTGTTCCCCACCCCTCGACTTTCTGCTACTTTGATGAACCTTCCCTCTGTGAAGCCCGAAGCCAGCTAAATGGCTAATGATATCTATCAAAATGCCTGCCATTTGAAATAAATAAAATAAATAAATAAATAAATGATATAAGAAAATATAAATACTGTGGAGAAATCAAGAGATATGTTTTTTTTCTAAAAGACCCATTCTTCCCGCTTAACCCACTGATTTTCATTAAATTTACTGTTTATTCGGGTTTAACATCTATTTTATGAAATTTAATAATGATTGAGTTAAATACCATTTGCCTTCCAATTTCGGGGCTGTTGTTTTTGGTTGTTGCTATTTTCGTAGCTTTGAGGTCACGATTGCATATCTCTTTTTAAGAGTTTATCCTTAGACGAACTAAATGGTGTCGACAAATCATATAAATCTACATATCACCCAGATTTCAAGTAGGCTGAAGGTTGTGGGACAAGTTATCGCTGTGTGCGCCATCGAATGCCTGCATGTCTGCTCGCCAGGATTGGGAGGTGCACCGTACAACTCTATGTGCAACGACTGTACAAACAGTGACCAATCATCAACCTCTGTTTAACCTAATCCCCCATCCTGATCATGAGTAGCTCCATGCGTGTGCACACTTTGTCCGCAATATACGTCCTGAATAAACGTGCTCCGTGCTACACGTCTGTTTCCTTTATAGCTGGGCTATAGCTTATCTGGTTCTGGGAGTCTAGCTAGATGTTGGAGGATCTGCCATAGAGATTTCTGGGTCAGTCAGGCTTTAATAAAGTAGCAATCCGCTACAAGGTTATTGAATCAATAAAAAGTGCAACTGTGAACTCTAATAAAGATGGAAGCAAAAACAGAACATTCTTTTATTGCTGAGTCCTTACAGATTGTTGATTATAATTCTCTAGTAAAATGTTACTTGGGTACGATAAAATGGAAACAATATTCATGACGTAATGCTATCATGTAAACTTTGTTAGAAGTTGACCTAACTATGTGAATGGTGTGAAGTTCTTAGAGTTGGTAGGGGGAGGTGGTGGTGTTGGATGTGCCGAACTCATAAGATTTAAATCTATTTCCGAGTTCAAAAATTCGCTTACTTATCTGTGGGATACTTCTACCCAAAACCATTAGTAAACCTTGTCACTATTAGAAAAAAGATAAAATTATGTACGCACCTCTGCAATCAGTTCAAGTCCATTGTCAATGTGGGTGGGCAGTAGTAACCTCTTTGAGAGAGTGGGTCGTGCTGACGAACCGAGAGTAAATGAGAAATGGGCAACTGTTCCTTCGTCACTAATAGTCACAGTAAGTCGTCCACCAATTGCATTCCTTGAATTTTCTCTGGGCATTCTCAAGTCCACAGAACTAGTTTTACCATCGGGTGGATTAAAATTACTGAAAATGCCAATAAGCAAGCGTAAGTGAAGGTAATGAAAATGTTGAAGATTCAGTGTAACTACTACATACAGCTTGTCTTTTTCCCACGTAATCCGCATCACCTCCGTTGTTTTAATTGCAAATCCACCATCCAATGATCGGCCATTCAGTCGAATAACCAGCATCTGATCATTCCGATTCTCCGTTCCAACAACAGCGTCAATATGAATAAATACCAACCGGGTGCTTTGGCGTTGGAGTTTTGCGACATTATCAACCACAAAGGCAGTCAAGATAGTTGGAGAACTGTGGCAGAGTTGGGTAAACGTGGCTGTCAAATAACCGCCGTTCGAGGCTTTTAAGGGAGCACCGCAGGCATTCGGTTTCTGGTATTTTATCATGGACTCCGAGTTCTTGTTATCAAAATGTGATAATCTATCGATTATGGACTCAGGATATACTGCTTGCTGTAGAACGACCGTTCCAACTGACTGAAAATAAAATGACCTTTATGCTTCCAAACGCAAATCCGATCTCTGCGTAAATGCTTTCAATGTTTATTACATTCAAATAATGTTATTCATTTAAGGCATTGGTGTACCATGGGCAACGTTTACTCATACGGCAAAAAGGCTGTAGAGCAACAGTTGACTTCTGACCTCAAACTACCATTACCCCACTTTATTTCATATTCCACTACTTTCACAGTACTCACCTCACCTTTTTCTACCTTTTCTACCTTCGTCTTTGAAATACTCTTCTGCCCCCCCCCTCGACTTGTTTGCACTTTGTTGTTCCTTCCCCTCTGTGAAGCCTGAAGTCAACTAAAGGGCTAATGATAACTATCGAAACGCCTGCCATTTGATAAGAATAAATAATTAACTATTTCGTATGCAGGTTATTCTAAATGACGCTTTTACCTTTCTATTAGTTGAAAGCTTTACAAGACCCCAGCGAGCAAAGCTCAAGGTCATATGGACTGACAGCTTGACAGTTTGTGGGGGACAAGACCAGCCAATCGTTTTGCTTTGGGTGGATCTTTACACGCTTAATATGTGATAAATATTAACATCCAGTGGCCTATATTTTTGCACAAAACAAGCTAATTGTCTTGGAGTTACTGGACTAACGACATCCTATTCCATTCCTGGTCTCAGTTAATGGAGTTTTCACTGCAATATTAATTTTATTAATTCGATGTAGACTGTATGCTATATCATGAATTCAAAACCATAATGTGTTAGGTGGAAAATATACCAATTGTTTTACGTTTATTGAATGATATATAAGCTCACCTTTCCGTCTTCACTCTCTATCTGAATTCCATCTATCATGTCAAGATCACTGAACGAAGTTCCAAATGCGATTGGTATTCTATAGCCTCCAGCCAATTCTGCATAGCCCATATAAGCATCCAGAATCATCCAATCAAATTTCTGTCCAACATTTTGTGCTTCTAGACATAAATGCTTGGAGTTGATTTCAAGGTCTCTCAATGTCGTTCCCTGTGAGCCGCTCAGACGAATGAAATTTACTCTGAACCCAATTCGAACATTCCCGAACCTTAATCGATTAAATGGTCCTAGAGGACCAGTGGGGATAAATCCTGAACTTGAAATATTGAGCGCCTTGTCCCTCCATTCGAAACCTTTAAAGTCACCGATAAATTTCAAGCAGTGCCATTTATTGGTCTCATCAGCGCAAACAGACTTTTTTGATTGATATGTGATAGAAACTCCTTTTCTATCAAATGAGATATAGCGATCAGATAGTTTGCTCCTTGCGGTCTCACAATTAACCGACGATCGGCCAACAAGGTCAAGTTGAAGAGTAACATTAGCTGGCTGAGCTAGAAGAATTAGAAAGATCTCTCGTTGAACGAACCGAGTTCCACTTATGCTCTCTATACATGTAAACCACCCCACTGTTTGTTGTTGAACGAGGACGGTTAAAACGTCAACTCCCAGGGTTGAATACCCAAAGTGCTTGCGTTGAAAACAACGGCTAGTAGGTAAAGGTATAAGATACTCGGTTTTAAATCCTGGTCCAGTCGGAATACTGTCACTAAGAAACCAATAGAACTTCGATTTCCTTTGTGTAGGTTGACAGCGTAGTGGAACTCGCTCACCTCTAAATCCTCGAATAACTTTAATTTGTGACGCAGGTAGATTCTGAACTCTACTTCCGATTGTACTTTTGACAGTTCCAATGAGATCAGCTTCGGGTTTTTTAAAATCGAGGCATTTATAATAATCCCCAGATGATTGAAAATCTATTAAATGACTACCCAAAACACCTATTAAGCACAGTAAGAAGCTGAAGCATCGTAATGAATCGACCTGCATACTAATAAAATCTAACTGCATAGAATATTGATTGATATTAATTTGATATTCTCGTGCGTTTCGTGTAAATTTGTACATTTATTGAATTAAACTAGGCAAATATTTTCTTGGATATCACAAACCAAACTGAAAGATTGGAAATTTGGTAGGGTGAAGGGGGGGGGTGTGGCATTTTCTAATGTAGAAGCTACTAAAATCAAATTTTAGAGATAATATCTTTATAGAATGTCGATTTCTTTTGTCTTATTTCACGCTTTAATAAAATGGAAAAGTTATTAGATGTCCTGATTAGATAAGTATTATTATTTAAAGATGGATTACGAGTTACTTTACTCCCCCCTCCTCCCTCGAAAAAATTTTGTTTAAACTATTTAACTTTAAAAAAAGCATTTTATTGCTTCGATTGTTAATTGAGAAGAGGCATATTCGCAATTTGGAAGTTTTCGTTCTTAAGGTTAAATTAATTTAATAAAACAGGGTCCCATCCTATCTATGATAGTGTATTGATCGTTATATGTGGTTAATTAGATCATTAATGAGACAATTGGATACCTTCCCATTTTGATATGTGCGTGAGTAATAAAGGGGTCGCGCGATGTGTGGAGATACTTTGATGAAGTTAAATCATTGCATCCGCCCCTCGACAAAAAAGCTTGAGTTGACAGCAGTGAATTGAAATGTGTGAGATGAGAAGAAATGTTTAGAGATTTTACTCACCTCAGAAGATGCAGCTGGCATGAATAAGCCCTATTCATACCAACTCATACCAAGAAATGAGAATGAGTAAATTTTGTCTAAAGCATCGTGAAAGGTAACCATTGTTTCTTTTTCAGCTGTCCATCAGAATTTAATGTGTAATTACCTGAACATGCACAAAAATAGCAAACTAGGAACTTGGTGGTCTGTTAGTTCATATTAAGATGTTCTGGGGTGGGAAGTAGACTTACCTCCACATGGTGCACCCTGGGCAACGTATACTCAAACTACCATGGAACTCACTTTATGACATATTCCATCACTGCACAGTACTCACCTCACCTTTTCCTCTACCTCTGTGCCAGTCTGTCTGTCTTGCTTACATCTGTGAATCACTCCCTTGTTACCCCTTTTCGCCTTTTGTGACATTGTCCGTTCCTCCTCTCTGTGAAGCCCGAAGTCAACTAAAGGGTTAATGATAACCGTCATAAAACCTGCCATTTGATATTAATAGATATGCCAATCCTACAGCTATTAATGGAAGGCAATAAGTTCGTTACTGTATTTTAAAGCTGACAGTTAGCCTTAACGAAGCTTGCTATCTTTTTCACACTTGGATATTAAAGACAATCTTTTTGAGTTATCGCATCCGCGATTATTGATTAATTATCATTTGCCTTAATGTTTATTTATTTATTTATATCAAATGGCAGGCGTCTTGATGGCTATCATTAGCCCTTTAGTTGACTTCAGGCTTTACAGAGGGGAAGGAACATCTAAGTGAAAAAAAGTCGAGAGGGGGGG